CAAGAAAACTTTCTTTGCTAGTCATAAATTTGTCTTCCTGTCGGCAAACTTCAAAAGGTGAAAAAAATTTTTCCCCATCGCAGCAGCTGTTTATGCTGACAGCCTAGCAATCTGAGGAAGTCGCTGCATTAAAAAAAAAAGCAGCCAGGAACTATAAAATAAATTAGCAAATTTACTGGCTGAAAGAAGAAATTTTGGCTCGCAGGTGCCAAATTTACGGGTTTTTTTTAAAATATAAAACAGGTTTCGTTGCAGACACTACACTTATGCTCGAATGGTAGCATGGTGTTTGTACAATCAGTGTGGGTATGCCACGTTAATGATGTTTGATGATGAATAAAAAAAGTGTGTGAGACAAGAAGCGAAAAGCTTACATCGGTTCCATTGCAACCAGGAATGCCCTGTTCACCTTTCATGCCCGGTAGACCATCAAGACCTTGAAGTCCAACATGGCCTGGGACACCTGGCAAGCCTCGATCACCCTGCAAATTTAATTTTGATTAAAATCCAGTACTGAAAAGAATACCACTCGGTATATATTGCTTTCACGCAGGAAGTCATCGGTCTGAATGCGCTTTTGGCACAGCCGATTCTTCCAGGACTTATTCATCCGTTCCGATGGTGAATTGATACTTACGCATGCCAGGGAATGAAGTCTGTCACAGTCTGGCTTCTTTGTAAGCAACCTTCAAAAGAGGGAGCCATCAACCGATTTGGTTGCTCTTAGCACACGAGTACACCCACCTCGCGTAGAAATGAAATTTCGGACGGGATTTTGTTTCTGGTCCATCAAAACTGTATTTGGACAAATGTTTGCCAAAATTTTTTGTGAATTTTTGGAGAAGTACAGTATCTAAGAAATACGGTGGAGCGATGAAGCCCTAATAGGCTGAAACAAGTGCCGGATATGGATCCTCTGCTTATTGCGATTCTGCGGAAATACTGAAATGTTTTAGAACTGACCCTGACACCCTTGAGACCAGGATCGCCGTAGTCACCTTCAGTACCTTGCATACCCGGTGCGCCATGCGGCCCCTCACCGCCATCCTGACCCGGTGCTCCTGGATGACCTCGTTCACCTTGGAATCCTGGTACACCCTGCAAACAAATTATATCATTTTCTTTGAACTGTTTCACAAATAATCTTTCATTGATTAAGCAGTCAATCAGCACTTGCCAATCCGTCCTTAGCTGCGAGTGCGGTGACTTCTTCTGCTGGAATAACCACGAAGCAACTGATAAAGATTGCACTCAATTTAAAACAAAACAGGACTTTCTAATTTTTATAGCACCGTCCCTCTGCTAAAGTTCGGAAGCTCAGCTTTTTCTCATGCCCTTCAAGATTCGTTCATTCGTTTCGATGGTAAATTGGTGTTAGCATGTGCCAGAGAGCCGAATCCTCCATCAGCTTATTTCTAAGCAATCCCCGAAAGGAACTCCACCAACAGTCTTATTAGCAGGTGTTTGCTATTGGCACTTGCTACCACTTAGGTTACTTCCGATTGTCTTCACCTCTCAAACATTAATTACTAAGAGGGTTTTTTCTTTCGACATTACTGTAAAACCTTTCCGAAATCTCCTGGAAAAGCGTTAAAAAGATATTCTTGTAGATATCAACAGGAGGATGGCACTAACTGAGGTATGCAGCTCAGGATCGAAGAAGCTGGCATAGTTGCGCCTAACGTATGGGACATTCCAGGCACCACACAAGGCCACTAATATGGGAACTTCACACCGATTGCCTAGGCGATTTTGGTGGAAGGACAGCCTCGGTCTAAGTTCCACTATTTGAAAGTGATAAAGCCACTATCCACGGTGAGATGCCAATGTGGTGTATCAATTAAGCAAATGCATTAGTGGTACCCGTTCTCCTTTTTGGCCGGGGCAAATGCACGGCGGGGAGCATCCTTTACAGGCCGCGGCGTCAGCAAATCTCGATATTCTCCTGTTCAGCGACAACCGCTCCGTTGAAAATACAGCGAAAAGTATTAGTTTTAGATAAAGCATAGCGCTGAATAACAATTGATAATGCTAAGCTGAGCGTGCAATTCTCAGTGCACCACTTGGTGCACTCCGTCGGCCTGCTTCACCGAATGCGTGGTACCGACTGGAAAGGACTGGATTTGATCCCTGAAAACGGCACTGGTGAGTGACTGGAACTCAGTTTTAGCTCCAGAAATCTTTCCAACAAAAAACATTAGCTATTTGTGCATAAGAAATCGAGGACGAGAAAATCTTCCATTTTAATAAAATAACTGAAATACTCTCAAAACCTCTTTTGGAAGTTGTTTTACTGTTTCATTGCTGAAGTGTCAGCTTCCCATAGAGAAAAAGTTGCAAATGAACCCCCGCAATTTTACATTCTTGGTTCTTATTACCTGAACACCTCCTATTTCAATAAATTGGGCAAAAAATTGGTTGTTTTACATGTCACTTTAACTTGTAAAGCGACCACAAAGAAAGTCGCGGATATGCTTGAACGGCTATATGGAATTATGTGAGTGGGATAGAACCAACAAACAGAAGAAAATAGAGAAATTGCCAGCTCATCAAAGGTGAGAAAAAATGCGATGATGAAACAAG